TGATAATATAAATTCTTATTAATGAAAGCATCATTAGAAATCATAGTAATAAAAGCATCATTAAAAGGCTATTCTAAGAATACTTTTTCATGTATTCTTAGAATAGCCTATGATCTTCTGATTATAGGCTATTCTAAGAATACATGAAAAGTTCTTTCTTGACTAATTTTCTTACAACAAAAAAGATTTTTAATTGTTTGGATTAAGACAAAAAATGTAATTAGAGTTTCACATAAAATATTCTTTATTTAAAAATGCTCAGAAATTTGAACTTAAGATGTTTTTCTTTTTCAGTCTTCAATCTAAAGATGCTAGCTGTTATAGTCTAACACACATTAAAACAACTGCTTTAGTTGAAGGCAGTGTCATGTAGCATTCTTGAAATGTGTTGATGTAAACCTCAAAATCTAGAGACAGATTGTTTCTGAAGCAAGAATGAACAACACTTCGAAATTGTTTGAAGGCTTTGACAAAATTTATGGCAGGAGCAATTTAATATTTAGTCAGAAGCTCACTCAAAAGATCTTTATTGTTGAGAAATTTTATGCAGTTATTTCCAGTATTCTCTCCACAGTGTGTTAGAGTTAAATGTTTACATGTAAATTTGAAGGCAATCTACTAGCTCCTCAGATTCTCTGAAGACTTTTGTAAAAATGATTCATCGCCTCAAGCAAGAGGTGATGTTCTATCAGAGGAATAAGTTCCAAAACAGCTTTGGAAACATCTATCTGCTTGGATGAGAGGCTGGTGAATTACATTCAGGTACTTCTTTGCCTGCAATTTGCTTCCTCTTGATAGTGAGTTGTAGAGCTGGAATCGAGTTCTGATTGATTCAATTACTCTCTTTTTCCTTTTGACTGCAAGTTGTTTTTGGTGATGTCACACTAGCAGATTGGATTCCACTCAGGATGTTAGCAGCTTTTAAATCACACACAATGAAAAATGGTGTGCTGACAATTCCCCAAAAAGCAAAGATTGATTTAGAGGATTTCGCAGTTTTCTGTAAGTTTTTATGCTATAGTTGCTATAAGTTGCTGTTTAACACCAGAATCTAGAAATGTGGAGCCAGTGAGGGTTGCATTTTTTGATATGCAGTCTCTGTGTAGGATCTCTTGGTGTCAATGATGCTCAAGCTGAACTTCAAGAAGTTTCCACCACCATCAATTCCAATTTTGGTGATGCTGCTTGATTTAAAAATTCCTCTTTCTTCAGACACCATGTCAACAAAACTCAGACAGACTGGTGCAATGGATGAATTTGGTTGTAGAGTCTTTTTTTAAAGATCATAAATAATTGATGTGGTTTAAAGGCTTCACTACATCAACTTTGTTCTGATTTTGTTGTTAGAAAGCCCAGTGTTGGTTGACTATGTTAGTTGTTGACTATGTTGGTTGTTGAGAGCATGAGGTTGACTATGTTGGTTGACATGTACCTTGGCTATGTGGTTGTTGAGAGCATGAGGTTCTTTTCTGAGTTTTGGCAAAAAGGTCTAGGTGAGGAGCATTGGTCTTTTATCCTGCACTCTGATCAGTCTTTTAATTCCTTTAGGCAAGACTCCTTTTTGCTCAATGACAGATGCAGCCAAGTTTTCTGCCACTTGAGAGTCAGTCTGCACACCTTTTTTCAAATTTTCAAATTTGAAACTTTTAGTGTAGTAAGTAACAGTAGTGAGATAACCCCTTTTTGAGCGTTGTCAGGCAAAGAGAGTACAGCTTTTCATATGTCTGGAAAGTACTCTGTGGATTGCTGTTTTATACATTTGATGCAACAAGGGGAGCCTGTTTGTGCTTTGATTTGCTAATTTGACAAATGAAGCATGAACTGTCAGTCAACTTTCTTGTGGCTGTCTAATTTTTGCAAGTTTGTTCTTCAAGATTTGCAAGTTCCTGATAGAACTTTGGTTTCAGTCAAGTCAATCATTTGTTTGAGCAAGTTCTTGATTCTCTCCTTTATGAAATCTGTACCTTGTCTGTCACATTTTTCATGCAAAGAAAGCTAACAGTTCTTCTGCGGTCTTTATGAGTTTTAGGAAATTTGGCATTTTCCCTGTAATAAAGCACAAAAACTATTCAATACAATCCTTCTGATTAACAAGAGTTTGTAACAAATACTTGAACATATTCTAATTGTTTGATTTAAATCTAGCCTACTAACCTACTAATAAGAATTCATCAAAACTTCTATTTTAAAAAAATTAAGTAAAAGCTTCCAAACTTCTTCCAAAAAGGTAATCAAATGTTTTTATCAATTTACTCAAAATGACTATTTGTATTGTAGTAAAATTTTGTATTGAGCTTTTTGAATTTTCAAAATTGATTGGTTTTTGCAAAAGTTACACCAAAAGATCGTTCAAAGGAATATTAGGTAATGGCGGATTCTAAATGGCTTATTGTTTTGTCAAACTTCATCATGAGGAACACCAACTAAGGTCAAAAATTCTGCTTTGTTTATTGCAGAAATCTTGTTTCCCCATAGCAAGAAACTATTTAAATTTTGGGAACTTGTTGATTTTGAACTTTAGGCTATATACTAAGTATAGTTTATATAAGGTATATACTAAGTATATATCAAAAATATCTATTTTAAAATGTCTCAATACAGTCAAAATATGTTGCAATCAGAACTAAAAAACTTGGTTGTCCTTATATTTGTATTCTTATGACTTTATTAAGCAAAAAAAATACAATTACATGCGCAAAAATTATTATAGGCTGAAAGAATTAAGAATATTTTGCTTCCAAAACACTAAAAATGGTTCCTCTATCTGCCTTGCATTGAAGCCTCATAAATAAGACAAATAAAAAGATAATTGCTTCATTTCTTCTACCAAAAGCCCTTTGAATACTGTATGTCCTTATACTGTTTTAAAAGATGTGATACTCTTTTAACATTTTGATGGAAACTTACAGTGCCAAAAATGATATATAAAGTTTTGCTTTCTAGTTGTTATGTTTGAGCCTCTAATAGAAACAAAATATTATGAACAAAAACGCCAAATAACAATTCTATTTTAACAAGAACATTTAAAGTCTATGAAAAATCACATTTATATCATTTAATGAAACATAGATAGGTATTTATTCATTATTTTATTCAACTGGCATATTTTTTATGTTGAAAATATTGCAGAGACCATTTAACTTCAAACTTAATTTTCACTCTGAGATAATGCAACCAAATTTTAATTTTTGAACCCTGAATGTCTCCAGTTTACTGGGTGTATCCTTTTTTTTATCCATTTTTTTTTTTTATCCTTAATTTTAGGGTAATGACTGTGATTTGTCATTAGTAGTTTTTTTTTAATTTAATAATTAATAACATTGCTTATAATCTTCTACTTTCTTTTAATGATCTCATACATTAACTGTATAATCAATTGATTTGATTTGATCTTATTATTTGAAAGATTGATTTACTGATTTTATTTTAGTTATGTCAAAAAATATTTATAGTCCTTGTTAAACTGATAGGAAAAGCTCATTTTTTACATTAACTAATAATATTAGTTAATGTAAAAAATGTTGCCCAATATTATCCAATATTGCCATTATATGATTAATTTGCATGTCTCGTTTAAAGAAATTATCTTTTTTAAAACTTAATTAAAAATAGTCTTTACCAAATTTTTTCATCAGAAAAATTGTCACAACTTGAAAAAAAAAATTTTTAATGCATTACTTTTAACTGTAAAAAACAATAATTTTTACTGACTACAAAAGCTAGAAATAATTTTGTAGAATTTAATGTAGGCAATATATCCGACCTTCATATAGATAGAGGCAATACATCAGACCTTCATATAGATAGAAGCAATACATTAGACCTTTATATAGATAGAGGCAATACATCAGACCTTCATATAGATAGAAACAATACATCAGACCTTCATATAGATAGAGGCAAAGCATTAGACTTTTATATAGATTAGGTACCAGCAATTTTCGGTATTAAGTTGCTTCAAGCAGGAGTAGACAGTTAATAAGAAAAAGTAAAATAAAAAATAAAAAAATCTAAAGTTAACAAGTAGCATTCTTATTTGAAAAATAAGTTTGAAAAATTAACATAAATAAATCGCTTTAAAGGCGCTTTTTTTTGTAGAATTACAACTGTCAATGTACATTTGTACAATGTACAATTACAAGTGTAATGTGTCATTAAAAATAAGTAAATGTAAACAAAATTTTAACTTTCAAGTTTTTTTATTTTTCCTGCATTAAGTTAAAGTTTTCAAGCTAAAAAGATAAATTTTTTTTGTAACTTAAAAACAAATTAAAAAAATCTTAACCCACTTAACACAACACTTAAAACCAACACGCAACACTTAAAACCATGTTTTTTTATAAACGTTTTACATAGGTTTATCTAATTATATGGCCTTTATGTAAAAACTACCCATTTTTACAGGACCCAAACATGTCTAAAAAAATATGAAAATTAAAAAATTAATTATTTGTTTTTCATTATATGTGAAAATACGCAGGAAAATGTTTTAAAAGTTCATTCATTGTAACTCATTCATGTTTATGTTTCATAATGAATTATATGTAAAAAAATTAAAATTAAAATAAGATCTGGAAGACTTAAAATTTTCAAACTTTTTACATAATAGTTTTATGGTCTAATCAAGGTACTCCCGCTTGAAGTAATTGATTTTTCTAAAAAAGATTAAAAAGTCCTGGTACCTAATATAGATAGAAGCAATACATCAGACCATCATATAGATAGTAGCAGTCTTAATAATATACTAATTTATAAGTATTGTTATAGCATAATATATAATATTTTGTATACTAGAGTAACTTAAGTTTTTTAACAAGTTTTTCACAAAAAAAGGTTTACTTTATTTTTGCTTCTTTAAGTTATATAAACTAAAAACTATTTTTTACTTATCTTTACATTTTGTTTTGATGTTTTTCATTCTGTTGGTCAATGTAAGAATTTTTTTTAGCAAAATTTATTTCTCTTTAGTTAAGATTTTACTTTTTTGTACTTATTTTTAGAGAAAAATCAGAAAGCTTGCTTAAAGAAGCTTTTAAAGATACCATCTTTAATGAACAAACTACAAATGATTCTGATGACCAAGAAAAGTATGACACAAACACTCCAGAAATTACTTTTGAACCTAATCACATAGGACATTTTGATTCTGTTAACAAACCAGAAATAATTCAACACTTGCAAACTTCTAAAACAAAATCAACTCCTGTAAAGATGAGACATGATAATAGGTTGCGAGTTGATGATTTACACGATCATAACTTTAAACAGAAGATTTTGCGACGTTTATCATTTTCTGCTAAAGACAAACTTAAAGTAACTCCTAAGATTGTAAAAGAGGATGGTGATAATGATTTTGAAATTATAACAGTTCCTGTACTTGACTTATTAGAGCATACAAAAAAAGGAACTACACCTAATACTCCAAAAACAACTTTTGGTGTGTTCTTGAGTAATCTTCAACGTAGGGGATCGAAGCGAGATTCTTTAGCTAAAGGTATAATTTTAAGGCTCTATTACCTATTATGTAGAGGGTAAGGGAAAATATACAAAGAATAATATATATACTTATTTTTACCTAATATTACCATTATCTTTCATACATCAATAACAGTATTTTAAAATTAAAACTAATACACATCAACCAATTCAAATCTGTTTTTTTTTTATTTAAAATTTTTTTTTTTTTCAAATTAACCTTTTTTTAACTTATTCAATATACTTTAAACTGGTTTATCTGTAATATGTTGCAACCATTTTTAAACACTAATTACAATAAATTGAATTTTAAATATATACTGTATGTCTTTGTTAACTAAAACTTTGCTTAAGTTGAAGAAGCATAATAAGATATCAGTTGTACGCTCGAAGTTGTTGAAGCAGTTGTTGCTAAGAAACAACAGTCATAATAAGTAGAATAAAGAAGTGCAATAAGTGTTGTTTCTAACTTTGGTCAAATCAAATAATGTGTTTCTTAATCTTGTCTCTTGACTTTACCTTTAGATCTTTAGAACCACATTTCTGATAGTGTGCTCACTCTTTAAGAGCATTTTAGCCATTTTCTACATTGATCTTACTGATTCTGAGAAATTTGGCTTTTGATAGTCATAATCAATTGAGGAGTTCAAACTGACCCTTGTAAACCACTGCCAAGCCTTCTCTTAACTTTCTCAAAAGTCATTTGAAAACGTTTAATCACAGTTTAGATAGTATTCAAAGAGTTCTTTAAAATCTTGGAAATATCATTGGGTGAGATGCCATTTCTGCCCAGTTTAATATTTGGTTTATTTTTACTACTCAACAATTGTTTTTTTTTGTTTTTAAAGTTTTATGCATCAGCAATAACGAACTATGTGCATAAAATTACCAATGGATTTATTATTTTGAAATTCCCAAACTTACTATGAGATTTGAAGTTGCATATAGTATAAACTTAGTTATTTTGTCACAGACCCTTTAATGAATAAGAATTACTTATTTTTAATTTAAATAATCTAATTTTTAACCATTAACTTTTTTAAACTACCACAGTTTACTAAATTACGATGAATTACTAAATTACCGCAAATCTAGTTTTGTTTTTTTTTTGTTTTTTTGTTATTGACCTCCTCAAGGCCGAGAAGGCCACTACAAATGAGGAGGCTACTTGATAGTGGTTATAACCCTCTCTTAACTCTATAACTCCGAAACACGAACCTTGACGAACAAGGCTGCTGCGCGGAGAAACAAGTTAAGTGCGGTACTACCAGGGACGTGGTGGGGATTGAACTTTTAATTGGATGATTAACTTAAAAACATACAAGGTATTAATGTTATTGAATGTTGCTAAGCCTCCGATTTTTTAAAATATAACAATATTTGTTTATTTTCTTGACCTTTGACACAATCATGTTTTGTCTATAAGTAAATAAATAGAAAAGATTTTGTTTTATTTCTTGGATACGTGTTTAAGGTTTTGCAAATAATTATATTATATTTTTCTGATTAAGGTCTAACAATTAAAGATATTTACAAATAGTTTGAAACTAATTTAAAGTAAAAACATGATGAAAATGATATCAAATTATATTAATGATACAAATAGTAATAATAATATTAATAATAATAACGATAAAAATAACAGTGATAATGATAAGAATAATAATAATGATATATAATATGATCATTAATAGATTTCTAAACAATAGCTGAATATTATATACAAAAATAAGAAAAGTTAAAGACTGACATAGAGTATCAATCTACTGTGAGATAAAAAACAGTTATTGTAAAGAAACTGACATTGATTAACTAATATCTATAACATTTATAATCAAAATGAAAACTTTGTAAGTAATATAATAATATGATATAATTTGAATAACAAATAATAATAAAAAAATTGAAACAAAAAACTTAATAAAAACTAAACTTATAAGAAATAAGACATTTAGAAACTAAAACAATAACGACACCAGTAATAACAAAAAAAATAAAAAAAATTAAGTAAACAGATAAAACAAGCTAAAAAATAGATAAATACAATACAAGAAATTCTTGCAAAATAAAAAGTAAAAAAAAATATTGAAATAAATAGATTAGTATTGGTTTTTTACTTATGATTAATCGTAAGCAAAAAAAAATAGAAAATATAAATTATAAATACCAATAGCAATAATAATAATAGCAATAATATTAATAAAGCGATAATTATTAGAATAATAAAGTAATTAGATAGTATTAAAAAGTTTTTTGAAGTAATGTTTGATTGCTGGTTGTCGCTGTGTTTTCAACGCCTGAACAAATGTAACTTGTAAAACTAACATAGTCTAAATAAGTATTCATATGCTTGCTAGATTATTTTGCTTTGATTTAAAAAAAAAAATTTTAACATTTTCTTTTCATTCATGTTATATTAAAAAAAAATTGACAATTTTTTTCTTTTGCTGAATATTTTGATTATTTTCAATTTTGATATTTCAATTTAAAAATTAGTTTTATAAAAATTTAAACTTTATTTTTTGTATTTTATCTGAATTTACTATACTTGTAAATAATAAGCATGTTTTATGTGCTTGTTGTTTAAACTTTTGTAGTAATGGTGCGCGGTTTTTAATTTGTTTTTTACTTCATTAAAGTACTTTTAAATTAAAAGCAAGTTACTTCATTAAAATATCGCTTTAAAATATTAATTGAGTTATTTATATTTCACCAAACAAAAAAGTTTTTAGCTTAACATAAATAGTGTAACCTTACTCAATGCAACTAAGGCCTGGTACACGTTTTTCCAAACAAAAGTATAAGTTTTTTCAATTACAATATATGTAAGTTTTTTCATCAAAATGTATGACATTTGGTATTTGTGGAGAGATTATTTTAACCACTATTATAATCTGGTAAGAGTAATGTGACTATAACAAATCGTCAAGCGTAGTTTTATTTAGAAAAGATGCAGTTTTCAACATAAAGTACCTTAAGGCTTGGCTATAGATAAGTCTATAAATTTGATTTTTTCATAAAAATATTGGTGCTTGTTTTCAATGAATGTAACTTGACATTTCTAATATAATTTACATTATTTGGGAAAATTATCCATGAAAAACCATTTTTTTATGAAAATTGAAGTTACTATTTTTAAAACCACACCTAAATGAGTTTGTTTAACAATAATGTCACATTTGATTTAGATAACCTATGGTAGTGTTAATTTTTCAACCAAAGTTGTTTTTGCATAAATAATCATAACTTTTAGCCCTATTTAAAAAACTGTATTCGGTATTTAGTATCATTTTTTGAAATACTCGGGACTTATTCAGCCATCTTGAAATAATAAATTATTTCATTCAGAATGCGTAAACAATAAAAAAATAGGGGCGGTAAACTTTTTAAATAAATTACTTTCAATTCGAATTCTTTGTTTGCATAAGTTAAATACCAATAACTAAAAAGTTTTTTGGTTTGCCACTAACAACCAATCGAATTTGTTTTAAATTATCGGCTTTTTTTTTTTTTTTGAGTTTGTTCTATGTCTTAGTTGCGTTGAGTATGTAAAGTTGCTCTTTACATACGTAGAATAATCTAGTCGGGACTCTTCATCACAAGGCCTGCTGTCATCAGACAATAAAGATAACTTTATAGTCTGATAATGAGACTTTTACCAAGTATTAAATATAACACAATTAAATTTATTTATACTAAATTTATATCTTTACCATGATATAATGATATTACACAATTAAATTTATTTATACAAAATTTATATCTTTACCATGATATAATGATATTTATTGATGATATTAACAGAACCCCAATTATTTTGAATATCCTTAAAAATAATTTTAATTTTTCTATCAATTTCTATTAAAAATATGCATTCATTAAAAAATAAAATTTATTAAAAATTTTAAAGTGCAATTCAAATGGCAATTTTAAGTTCAAATTTAGAAAAAAACCGACGTTCAGTTCATCTTGAAAATGTTATCAATGGTCAATTGGAGTTAGAGGCATTCAATGAGTTTTTAATGAGCAAGGTCAGTACATTTAAAAAATATTATTCTTAGATTTATCTTGGTTATAAAACATGGATGATTTAGTATAGTGGTATACAGCCCTCGGAATTAGGGTCAGCATTCTGCAATGTTGGCCTACCTGCCTACTTAAAGTTATTGAGGTCTCGTTTTTATTTTTTATTGTAAAACCTTTGTGTCAACTTTTTTTCCTGACCTTATGCCGCCCTCTAATAGTTAAGGGTCAGCAAAAAATTGCCATTCCGAGGGCTGGGCATATCTGCATGCAAACAATATTTATCAAAGTTTGTTTTATTCAAAGCATGTAAATCATATGTATTTATTGTTTTTTTGAATCAATAAACAATTGAATTGTGAAATTCCTCACAAAAGTCATTATACAATTTTGTAGAGATTTAACATCTAGCTGATTTATACTTTATATTAGTTTTGATTGTTTGACCTTACTGTGGGTGGTTTTGGTGATTAGCATGGGTGGTGGTGTCTTCATTTAATATCTTTTTTTAAATTTTAAAGAATTTCTATTTCAAGAATATTTCTTCAATAGGTAACAGCTATGAATAGAGCTGATAATACAAAAAGTAACTCTGAAGCAGATACTCTTTTTAAAAATGGGTTGCATATATATCATGGCAAATTATTACTTACATATGCAAATGCTGTACAGGTTGTAATTAATTTAATGCTATACAACAGAAATTATTTTATAATATTTGTAAATAATGATTGTTATTGTACTTATTTTATCATAGTTTTAGATGTTTTTGTTTTAACTTATTTTATCATATTTCGAGATGTTTTTAATTTTGTATTAAGTATTTAGTATATAAAATAAAGTAAATTATAAAATATATTTTACTATAAAATATTATAAATAGTTATAGGTAAATTGGTTTGTTAGTTATAACAATTACAATAATTTAATATTTATAATTTAAATATATATAGTCTATAGTTATAAAGTTATAAACGATCAAAATTATAAAGTAAAATTTTTATTTTTTAGTCAAACAAGGAATTTTCTCTGAATGATCATGACCTGGTTTTTGGATTCCAACTTGCTCTTGAAAGTATACAAGATATGAAAGTTTCTAAAGAGTTTTCTGTAATGGGGCGTAATCTTTTTCAAGGAATTATTGAGGAATTTGTCAAACAAAAGTATGTCTTATTTTATGTATATGTATATATATATATATATATATATATATATATATATATATATATATATATATATATATATATATATATATATATATATATATATATATATATATATATATATATATACATATATATACAGTAGAGTGCATCCAACACCCCATACTTTCAAAAATTGATCTGTCCCTATTCTTAAAACTTTCTATTGGTTCTCACAAGGCACTGTTATATTTTTTAAAAATTGAATGAGATTTAGGGGGGCCACCTTAAGTCTAAAATTTGCAACGAGACCCTAAACAGAAGAAAATTTTTTTTTTTCATATGTATGTCATGTTTGGTCTCAAAAGAAGTGAAACTTTATAAATATTTCAAATATAATTATTAATTTTTGTTAAAAATACCTTGAAAAAAAATTTCGACAAAAACCATGAAAACCATGGGTTTTTTAATTTTTAAAAAATAATAATAATTTTTATGCAATAAAACTTAGAATAAAAATTCTTGTGTAAAATATTATTATTATTTTTGAAATCTTCATAAAATTTTGCTTCTTTTGAGACCCAACATAACGTACATTTGAAAAACTTTTTTTTTTCTTTTGTTTAAGGTCTCATTGGAAGTTTCAGACTTGAGGTGGCCCCCCTAAATCTCATACAATTTTGGAAAAATTTAACAGAGTTTCTTGTGAGAACCAAGAGAAAGTTTTAAAAATAAGGACAGATCAATTTTTAAATGTATGGGACATTGGATGTACCCTAATATACAGACACATAAATATAGTATATATGATTATTTTTTTAGAGAAAAGTTGTTGCTGAAAAAGGTAAAAAATTTTACTTTTTGTTTTACTTTATGAAATAATTGTGCAAATTTCACTACAGCTATTGCAAACAATTTTAAAAGTTTTTTTCTGAATTGAGACATATAATTATGGACTCCTGATGACAAATATCAGAGTTTGAGGTTCTTTGGGAGACCTTTTAATAATGAAGACAAATACCAGAGTTTGAGGTCCTTTGGGAGGCCTTTTAATAATGAAGACAACTACCAGAGTTTGAGGTCCTTTGGGAGGCCTTTTAATAATGATTTAGTTATTAGTAGACTTTAGTATTGTTAGCCAATTGCTGTTGATTGTAAACAGATTTTAGATTATCTGAATTACTTTTAAGGTTGCTAAAATTTTTAAAAACCTTTAAAAATTTTTACAATGTTCAAGATTTAATCTTTCTTAGTAAAACTCATAAATTAAAAATCAAATCAAAAAATTAAATGTTTATTTTCAAAAAATATTAACCCTGGAATTTTCTAAATAGCATAAATGTCATTATTCCAAAATGGTTGCATTATGCAGTGTAATAAAACTCAAAACATATACAATTGCATTGATCAATGAAGATAATTTATCTTTATTCACTGAATTTAACATTTAGCACCACATTTACTGACTTCAAATATATAGTTAAATGAAGTTAGCTAAAAGGTTATCAAAAAACTTATCTTCAGGTGAACTTATTAGGAAACTGCAACGTAGTTTCAACGTAGTTTCAACATAGTTTCAACGTAGTTTCAACGTAGTTTTTGACTTTAAAAAAGAGCACTAAATTTTGTTTATGGTAAATGTAAAAAATTTATTTAAAAAGTAATTTTTAACTTGATTTTAAAATACATTTAACATTTGTTATCTATTTATCTTTACCTTATAAATGCACTAAACATTTTCTTCTTTTATCTCTGCTCTTCTTAGTAGCAGGCATCCCAAGCTAATATTAAAGCTATATTTTATTTAAAATTTGTAAATATTTTAAATAAAAAATTGGTAAATGAATTGATAAGATTAAGTAGTTATGATTATATTATTTATTGCAGAATGCTGTTATTTTCAATTTTTATTTAAACTTTATTTTCTGTATTACTTTTACAGTCTATTTTGAGTAGACAGATGAGATCAAAATTTTGTAAAAAATATTCTCGTATCTTTCAAAAAGTATTTTTGTAGACTTCAAAATATATCCTTGTATCCTTCACATAATATCTTTCAAAAATTATTTTATATACAATAATCCAGTTTTCATTTTGATGAGACACTCCCTTTCAAGATTTGAAAGGGAGTGTCTCATCAAAACTGAAACACTCAAGAAGCTGTGAGAAAAAAGCAGCAAAGCAAGCTAGCAAACAATGTAAGCAAGTAAGTAAACAATGTAAGTTAAACTTTGATGATGAGTACAAAATAAATCAAACAACAAAAGCGATTTTAACAACAATAACAGCAGCAAATTAAGTTAATGATATGAAGTGTTTTAAAGTTTTTAGCGAAGCTTCAACAAGTCAAAATGGTGAATGCAATGAGTGTAAAAGTTCAAAATGCTTTGGATTAGTTAAATGTACTTATCAAAGCAATTTGTAAACAGCAGTTTTATTGCACCAAAAAAGTGTTGCATAAGTGTAACTCAACCACCAGAACCACAACAACTCAATATCATCATAAGAATACAAATTATTTTTTTTTTGTAATGATGATGAATTTTATATAATTTTGTGATGATGTCGAAGTTTTTTTTAATTAGGTGTTCATAAGTTTGCATTTTCTATTCCTCCTAGACACAAGGAATAAAAAAATCTTTTTTATTAAAATAAAGTTTCTTGAAAAACCAAAATGTTTTGTTTTGATTTTTATATCTTTAAATACAGCTCTAAGTTCTCTGCAATTTAAATGTGAAGTTGCAGAGAACTTGAGAGAATGTGACTCATATTATTCTATTCACCTTATTGATTTAAATTTTTTTTTTTTAAATTTCTTAGGAATATTTTTAAGGAAAAAAAGTCTTTTAAAAAAAAATGACCTTTTATCATAGCATATGATCATTATAAAGTTGTAGAGGTTTTATAAAAATTTTGCGACATCTTCCTTTTGTGTAACATTAAAAAAAGTTTATATTTTAAAAGCTATATTTTTAAAATAAATATTACTTTCACATGTTTAAAGACTTGTGAGATGAGCGTTAATAATTTTTAAAAATTTTTGCACCAACCCATGTTTTAGCTAAAGGTTAAAGGCTAAATTAAACATTCTGCACTTTTTATGAGTATTATTTTTAAGTTAACACATTAACCTAATTTAAAAATTTGGTTAATTAAGTTTTGTTAAAAAACCATTGAAAAGAAAACTGCCTACATATGAGTTTTTTGGTTTCCTTTAAATCTCAAATGTGTTTTTAATATTAGAGTTCATACTAAATTTACTGCTACTAAAACAAACTGACACTGTTCTAAGTTGAAGCGTAAAAAGCTAAGATGCTCTCAAATGGTTTTTTCAGAAATCCATGACCATTAGGAGGCTGCTTGTTTTGACAACTTACTGGCGAAATTCATTTTTCTTATAATAGATTATTGCAAAGTATCATTACATTAACTTTTAATTTTCTGTTTTAGAAACATCGCAAACCTATAAAAAGGAATAGAAGAAAAACATCTGAATATATTGTAAGTCAATCTGTATAGTTTGAGCAAGACAGAGATTTGTTTGTTTGATTAAAAAACATTGGAGAATAATTAATTTTAGTGAATTATGCGTAAATCAAAATCTTTTTTAATAAAAAATACAACAAACAAACACAAAAACAAAGCAACCTAATAAAAAATAAGAAATAGCAATGATTTTTTTTATAGGATCATAATGGTCATCTTTATTCATGGCAAAGTTTTAATATTCAAACTTACTGCGAGTTCTGTAACTCGTTTATTTATGAAAGAGGTTTATTATGTCAAGGTACATAATTGTTATTTTGTTTCTTTGTTTTTTATATTTATGGTTAATCATGTTCTTATTATTCTATTACTAAATCTAGATGAATTAAAATTTAGTTCTGAAGTTATAAAATTTTAATTTTATTTTTTTGCTTTTGCCTAATTTTACTTTTCAGCTTGTTCATTTACATGTCACAAAAAGTGTTATATAAAGTATTCGAAAACATGCAAAGGGCGGCGTCCTTCAGTGTGTGGTCCCTCTTCTGTAAGAAATTTTTTAAGATTTCAATTTCCCATTTTTATCAAAGAGTAATCTTTAAGTATTTTGCTTTTTTAATAGCTTTTTGGAACTGATCTCTCTGAAATTACTAGCAACAACAATCCAATACCAGAAGCCATTTTAAAATTAATTGAAGAAATAGAAAAAAGAGGTTTTATTTTTATTTATTAATGTTTATTAAATGTCCACCATATTAAAGAGAGATTGTGTTGAATAATTTAGAGAGGGCATCAGAGTGGAATATAGAGGTAATATAAAAAATGATTGTATAACAGATATTTAAAAATATGAAGCAGAGGTGCAAAAGTAAGTAATACAGAAAGTAATGATTGTATAACAGATAAAATATGGTAATGAATTAAATAACAGATATTTAAAAATTATGTATATAAATAAAATTAATAAGGTTTTATGATCTTTTTATTTCATAATTATGAAAAGTATGGATGAAAAGTAAGTCATTATTAGCAATTATGATGAATGAGAATGTTGTTGTTTTTTTTATCAAAATCCAATTTTTTTTTAAGTATATTTTTTCAATATTTAGCTGATATGAGCAAGTATCTTAAATATTATTAAATTTACAAGTCCTGTGCAAAGACTATATAGAAATATATAGTTGTATGTTTTTCTTCAGGTTTATATGTGGAAGGGCTGTACAGAAAACCAGGACCTCAAGCTGCTATAAATAATTTAAAAAGTGTTCTAACAAGTAAAGGTAGGTAGAAGCAATGACTTCATAAATATATTTTTTAAAATAGATTTGTATAGAATTTGAATTTTTCTTCATGTGTTAGATTTTCAGATTTTGTTAGGATTGTTGCAAAAAACTTTTCAACTTTTTTTTCTAAATTCAGATCTAGTTTATATTTGTCAGAGTTTTAGTGGTTATTATGATTATTTTTATTTTATTAAATGAATAATTAAATAAGATTTTAGTAATAAATATTGTTATCAGTGGCATAAAAAAATTAAAATAAAAGCATAAAAAATACATTTAAATATTTAAATATTATTTGTTTTTTAGTTTTGATAAATTTTTTAAAATGATTTAAATCTCATTACTTTTCTTGTCAAATTTTTTAAACGATGCAAAATAAATATTTTCTTGTGTGTACATTTTGGGTGTTTATTACTCAAACATGTCAATATTTTGAGTGTTTAAAACTCCAGCATATACACTTGTCCAAAATATTTTCATTTAGATATTCAAAACTAATAAACATTCTGGTTTTCTAATAATTTTATCTATTTTGGATAGACCATGAACTCTATTTTTCAAAATTATGGAATATTTTGATGTTAAACTTGATCGGTTATTGCTGATCTGGTTTTTGTTTTGTTTTTAAGTTGTTTGAATATTTTGTATGAGGTGTGTCATTCTGATCATTTTTTTTTTGCTAGGTTTATCATGGGTTTGCCTATTTTTTTTGTAAAGATCATTGTGGATCTGGTTTTAGATCCACAATGATCTTTACAAAGAGATAAAGATAATTTAGATAAAGAGTCAGTTTTTGTATCTATCTGAATCAACATAATTTTCACATTATATAAGTATCTATAGCAACATAATATGTTATTACAGATGTGTTAAGTTCTATAGCAAAAGTAATTGTATTTTTAAATTTTGTTTTAAGATGCTGAAGACTTGATTTTTGAAGATGAAAAACCACATACGTTAGCTTCACTTTTAAAACTGTTCTTCAGACAATTACCAAAACCAGTTGTTTGTGAAGACTTCTACGAAGATTTTCTTCGATCAACAGGTAATATGTAGTACTTTTTAGATCATGTTTTTTTAAAAATACCAGTTTGTTTCTTCAACATATATATATATATATAAATATAAATATATAAATAAATATATATATATATATATATATATATATATATATATATATATATATATATATATATATATATATATATATATATATATATATATATATATATTTGTTGAAGAAAAAAACTGATATTTTCAAAAAGCCATAGTCTTAGAAATATATATATATATATATATATATATATATATATATATATATATATATATATATATATATATATATATATATATATATATATATATATATATATTCATACAAGGGCTATTCTAGACCGTTTTCGACAGCGTTGACAGTATTTGGGCACTGCCCAAATTAAAAATTGAGGACCTTTTTTTTATGTTTTTACGCCAAATATTTGGAAAAAAATATATATTGTGAAAAAATGCCTATATTTGGCAATATTTTTGCTAAATTTCTCCAGGATGAGGGGGGGGGAGGTACTGCGGCCCAAATTTTTTTCCTAGAATAGACCCTGATATATATATGCACTTGCGCCAGAAAAGTAAGTTGACAATGTGTAAAAGTATGATATCTTTCACTAAGGATTTCTCTGTAGCGCTTATGTAGTGTAAACATCTTGTGTATAAATAAAACATCATTAGTCAAATAATTTTAGTTATTCTATAATATTCGAAGTGGGAAATTATTATGGTTTTTTGTTTATCAGAGTTTTTACTGACTGGTCGGAAAGTAAGTTGACAAAAATAAAATTATATTTAAATTTATAATTATATATTCAAATTAGTCCATGTCTATATATGTGATAACACTTTGTTATTATGCATTTAAAAAAATTAATTCCAAGTATATTTTTTTAAATTAAAATGTGTATTATAATTAGATATTTATTCTAGATTGCTGAAAGTTAAAGATTTAACGTCTACCTGCAACAAAACATTAATGAGCAAAGATAAACTGGTGAATCATTACAAAATGTCACTAGCGTATTCCATATTTCAATAGAAGGTGTAAATAAAGTTTGCAAAAATATTTCTAAGACCGGAATGGTTCTTTTTTTTACTATAAAGTGGCTGAAAACGAAGGACAACACCTGGTCAAGACCAATTAGTTGCGACTGAGGCAAAGTAAAGATCATTTATTTCATTACAAAAGCTGAATAAAGTTTTTAATTTAGCAAATAGTGATACCTAAAATAAATAAAGATTAAGTAAAGCTAAATTAGTATGCTGTGTGGCTAGGAAAAAACTATTTGTTTCAAAGATTAATGCCACTTACCGTCTGAAGTTAGCCAGAGAGCATGCAAATAAGTCTCAATAATTTTGGAAAATATCTTTTGGCCACAAAAAGTAAATTTTATAAGAAACCTCAATGCCATGCTAAATGTTGTGGAGAATAAAAGTACTTTAATAAAACCTACAATAAAATATGGTGGATGCTCTATTATGGTTTTAGGCTGTTTTTCTTGTGATATAGATAATTGTGGTATAGATAAATTTCAATTTATTGGTGGTTAGATAAGTCCTCAAGGCTAGGTTAATGTAATAAAAAGTAATTTTTTGGGATTTATTCAATCAATTAAGGCTTATGGGCTAATGATCCCAAACATACTGTCAAAATTTCAAAGAAATTATTGGTAGAAAATCACATTAACTTGTTACCCTGACTATAAACCCATAGAACATCTTTATGACAAAAACAAAACAAAAGAGGTTTTGAAACCCAGCTCAAATGAGCTCTGCAGAGGAACTGCCTCTGCAGAGGAATGCCAAATGGAGTTCTGCAGAAGAAATGCCTCAAGAAATCATCAAAAATAAATTGATAGTATGTATAACTGATTGCTAGAGGTCATCAAACCAAAAGGCTTTCAAACCTGTTATTAATCTTTTAATAAAAAATCTAAAACAGTATCTATAATTTTTCTTTGTTGTCAACGAACTTTTAACTAAACATCTGTTTGGTTTATTTATTTTACCTTGGAATTACTAAAAATAAGGGTTGTCAACTTACTTTCTGTTGCAACTGTATATTTTTATATCTATTATAGCATGTAGATATACAGTTTTTTTTTTAAAACATAGTTTGTGTGTATGTATGTATGAACGAATATATGTATGTATATATAGATCTTTTTGATTGATAAAATGATTAACTAGCTGTATATTTTTTTCAAATTCAAAATTTGAAAACTAAAAACAATTTTAATTTATGCTGTTTTTAAAATTTGCTGTTGATTTTATGATAATCTGGTTTATATTTATGTATTAAAATATATAGAAAAATGACTGTTATTATTTGATGGACATATATGGAACTTATATAACAATAATGATAAAATGATATGCTTAATCGAAAAATAAAAACAAGATGAATAATATCATCAAAAATAAATCAAAAATAGATTTTAGTAATGGAATTAAAAAGTTACAAATTTATTTTTAAAAATGTAAAGGAAAACAAAACAAAATTAACTAAAAATTTTTAAGCTTGCTTAAACAAAAAATGATTAAGTTGTTACATAATTGATTATTTTTTAATTGATTATTTTTATCAGTAAAAATGGATTTTTTTAGTTTGATGAATTTTATATTAATGTTAATTAGTTTGGTTTTTTGAGACATGACTTTGTAACAAAGCATTTTTGCACATTAAATAGAAATCAGTATTACTATAATTTAATTAAGTTAAACATCTGTTATAGTATGTAAACTTATCCTTATATAGTTCTTTGTAATAAAATACAATATTTCTAGGGGTTATATATACCCTCGTTATTCAAGTAATATAAAAAACCGTTAAAAAAACAAATAATAAAACTTCAATGTAATGTGTTCTTGCGCCTTAAATAAAAAAAATAAGTTTCCAAAACGACGAGATGATGTAATCACCATCGTCTTTATTCAAACCACCTTCATTTGGAAAGCACTGGTGATACTGAATTTCCAAAGACTCTCTCTACTTTAACACTGTTGTTTTTATTCCAGCTAAAGGTGCCATGGCTATTTCTGGAATGCCCCGCTACAGCCGAATTTTTCCATTTTCTCTCAAAAGTATGTTTTTGATGTTGGCAAATGCGATTTGAAACCTTAAGTTTTGTTTCACCTACATAGAGTTTTCCACACAAACACTCCAGTTTGTAGACTCCTGGATAAGAGTTGTTGGGAAGTCCAGGCTTGTTTTTTTGAGTTAATAATTGTTGAAGGTTTTTTGGTGATTTAAAAACTGAAGTATAGCCAGCATTTTTAAATATCTTTTTTAATTGGTTACTTAATTTTGGTACCCATGGCAGAGAAATATAGTTAAGTTCTAGTTTTTTGATGTTATTGTTGTTGTTTTGTTGATAATTTTGTTTATTGTTTTTAATTTTTTTGACAATGTTTTAAAGTATTTTTTTTTTATAACCATTTTCTATAAACATATCTGTAAGATACTTTAATTCATGATTTATGTTTTCTTTACTGCATAATGCAAAAGCTTTTTGGATAAAACCTTTAAATACACCATAAATCATTTTTGGATCATGACAAGAATGCAGCTTTATTTGCACATTTGTTATTGCATCTTTGCGATAAATATTAAAAAGATATGTTACAGATTTGTTATTTGTTATTGAGAGATCAAGAAAATTTATTGTGTGTGAGTCACTTTTTTGAATTGTATATTTGATACTTGTGTGTTGATTATTTAACAAGTCAAGAAAACGTTCTGATTCTGCCTCATTATTAAAACAGGAACGGATATCGTCAACATACCTTTTGAATAATTTTACACATATTGGTGGTGTAAGATATTGTGCCTGTATTAAAGCTTTTTCTTCATAATGTTGCAGAAAACTCTCTGCCATTACTGCCATTAATGATAATAATGGTAGTAATGTTTGTATATTGTTTTCTTGTAAAAAATAACAGTTTGATAAACACAAATCAAAAAGTATTTTTTATTTCTGAAAACGATAATTTTGAATTAAAGACAGGACGTCGGAGACATTATGGAGTTGTTCTAATAAAATATAGATTGATTCTTTAACTGGTATTGAAGGGTAAAGATTAACAATATCGAAGGAAACTTGAAATTCACCAGGATCGATATACCATGATTGAGCACATTCAACAAATTGTTTTGAATTTCTAAGTTTTGTTTTGTTTAGATTGGAGGTAGGTTGAATGAGATTTACTAAATAATTGGATAATTTATATGTAGATGACCCTATTGTGATTATTATAATTCGCTATTTTGCTTACTATAATTTGTATAATCAGTTTGTATTAATTTTTACTTAGTCTATCTTTGATAGATTGTTGTTGGAAGTCTCGACTTCCCAACAACTCTTATCCAGGAGTCTACAAACAGGAGTGTTTGTGTGAAAAACTCTATGTAGGTGAAACAAAACTCAAGGTTTCAAATCGCATTTGCCAACATCAAAAACATACTTTTGAGGAAAAATGGAAAAATTTGGCTGTAGCGGGGCATTCCAGAAATTGCCATGGTGCCTTTAGCTGGAATAAAAACAACGCTGTTAAAGTAGAGACTATTTTAAGAGAAAAGTGAGAGTGAGTCTTTGGAAATTCAGTATCACCAGTGCTCTCCAAATGAAGGTGGTTTGAATAAAAACAACAGTGATTACGTCATCTCATTGTTTTGGAAACCTTTTTTTTTTATTTAAGACGCAAGAACACATTACATTGAAGTTTAATTATTTGTTTTTTTAACAGTTTTTTATATTACTTGAATAACAAGGGTATATATAACCCCTAGAAATATTGTATTTTATTACAAAGAATTATATAAGGATAAGTTTACATACTATAACAGACGTTTAAACTTAATTAAATTATATAAAAACTTATCTAAGATGTTAACTTTTAAAAATAATATTACTATATAAAATAGAAAGCAATATTACTATATAAAATAAATTACTTTAGTTGTTAATATAACGTTCTGGTTTTGTCTAAATTTATGATATATTAAAAAAAGCTTTTTCATTCTTTCTCTCTTCTGAAATTTTTATTTACCCTATCTTTTCTTTCCCCTGTTTCTTTCTTCAAGTACATTAAGTTACTTTTTTTTGTATCTTTATTGTTTTATTGATAAATTATTAGTACATAAGTTTTTAAAAGTTTTTTTGATTATTGATTATTTAGTTAAACTGTTTTAGTATTTATTTTTAATTTCTAACTTTATATAAAAGAAAAAAAAACATTTTTATTTTGCTATAAAGCACTATGGGGCTTTATTACCCTTTATTACAGTTAGTTTGTTTACACCTGTAAGTGCACTTGTAAACTAGATTTCTAATTTCTTATTTTTCTCAAGTCATGAAAAATATCAGGAAAAAAAAACAATTTTATAATTTGTGTCAAAAAAGAATGCTAAATCAAAGTAAATTTTTTTACCATTGAATCCTCTTTTACATTTAAAAGCTTTATACTTAGGTCATTACCCTTAGGATTATACACATAGGATGATTTCTCGTTATCTTGACACACTAAACTTTATCTTATAGAAAACTTTTGATACACCTAATAATTACTTTTATAGTTTTTTTTATTGCATTTATAAAATCATTTTAAACTTAAATAATTTTAGGGTATGTTTACTCCTAGATTTAAAAAAGGCAAAAGATACTCAGGCAACATTGTATGAATTAATACAAAGGTTTCCTAAAGCCAACAAAGAGCTTTTAGAACGAGTTATCATACATTTGTCAAGGTAGTATTTTTGATTACACTGATTGCATATTGTTTAGAATTAAACTGAATTAATTGTTTTTGTTTTTAAATTTAGAGTTGCAATGTATGAGGATACCAATAAGATGTCACCAAATGCGTTAGCTATTATTTGGGCTCCATGTTTAATGCGCCCTCCATCAGATACTGATCCTCTTGAAACAATTCAACAGCTTTCTAAACAAACAAAGTAACTTTTGCCTGATATATATCTTTTTCATTTTCTATTTTATCATTAAAATCATAAATTAAGAATACAAAAAGGATATAAGAAGTTTGTTTACATGCATAAATTTTAGTTGATGTGGAAAAGTTTATTTTTTCGAAATATTAGCATATTTGAACCTCCTATGTAAACTTATTTTTACTTTCCATTGTTAAGTAAATGCATATAGATAAAAAATGGTAGTTGAAATACCGTTATAAAAGTAACTGGAGTCTTAAAATAGTGCATAGGAGAGAAGTGCTTAATTGACATGAGTTGAAAATATACAAATATAATATAGTTTAAATTAATTATAATTAATTTAAACTATATTATATTTCATATCATAAATCAAAACAATTAATTGAATAATATTATCAACTTGAATATATAAATCTTTTCTTTGAAAAAAGGAATTAAAGGGATCCCCAACTGCCAAGACAAGTTGTGTTTATGTTAAAGAAAATATTTAAAAAAAAAAATTTAGGCTAAATTTTTTTGTTTGAAACTAAATAATGAATGCATACCAACAAAATTAAAATGATCGTTTTAGTCAAAGCTTGTCTTCTCCATTTTTTTTTTTTTGGTTCTCAGGGTTTGTGTAATGTAAGCTGCAATCTGCAGGCTTGATAATTTAATCCATGAGTGTTAATTCATAACAGTTACAGTATATGATGTCATCCCAATATCTTTTTAAAATTAGCGTTTTTTTTGTTGTTTTTTTAATGATTTAAGTATTTTTTTTACTAAAATCAGAAAATCAAATATTTGTATAATTTTTTACTAAACCACAAAAAATATTTGTGATTTAGTAAAAAATTATACAAATATATATATTTTTATACTTATAATTTTTTTTTTACTTGCTTTATTATTACTTTTTAGAAGCCAGCCAAAATCATGACACAATTATACATATTTTGTGATAATTAGAGTTCGCAGGCAAAGAAAAATAAAGGCAGTATGATGCGGTTTCTCGTTTTTAGTTCATATGGTTTAATAAAGTTGTTTGTTTTGTTTAATTTACATTTAGTTATGGTTTAACTCTTTCACTACCACAAACCTCTGGTAGCGACTTTCAAGTATGCTTTACAATTTATCTTGTTTCTTACATAAATTTCCATTCTAGACACAGAATTATTTTTGTTCTAAAAGTTCAATTAATGCTCTCACAATCAAAAAAAAAAAAAAGAACTATATTATGTAATTATAAAAAAGTTATCACAAAGTTAAAAAATCTTGAATAATCCTTCATAAAAAAAAATTCTTTAAATTTAGTTATAAAATAAAACAGCGTTAACACTGTAAAGCTTAACTTGTAGAAGTGTTAAGTATTAAGTTAAGTTATTAACAAAGTATTTTGTAGAAAAAATATTTTTTTTATTCATTAAACGAGGTTTGTTTTGGACTTGTTTTAATTACTACTCATAAAAACAAAGGTTTTAAGCACTTTGCATTTCTTATTGTTTAATGATGCATGTTAAAAACTTTTTTATTATCAAATTTTAATTAATTATCATTGTTATGCTATTCAAATGTTATTCAAAAAAATGTGCGGTTGCTACAAAAAAATTTTTGTTTGGCTGTTAGCGAACAAGTTAATGCAATTCTTCGTTTTTATATTTATATTATATCTATTTTTTGTATATTTTAGTACAAATGTTTGTTTTAACTTTAATTTAGTTTGATTTGGACGGTTATTAGTTAAATAATTTCTTTAATATTTATTTTCTGCTTAGTTCAGTTTATATGTTTTATTTAAGACACTGGTTTTTTATTCAGTTTATATTTTAAATTAATTTACATGCTTTAGTAAAATTATCCTTTAGTATCTAGTTTATATTTAGTTTAAACCTTTTAATATCTAGTTTATATTTAGTTTTATATTTAGTTTATTACGTTTTACTGTAAATATTCATTATATATTAAATTTTTATTTTTATAAATTTTATAAATTTAACTTTTAATTGCTTTAAAAAAAGTTTATTAATCATAAACTTTTTTTTGGGATTTAGTAAAAAGTTATACAATTAACATGATTTGGAGATTGTGGCAAAAAACTAATATGATATCTTGAAAAAATTTTTTTATATAATGACGTCATGTACCGAAACTGTTATAAATTAAACACACATGGAATAAATTATCAAGTCTGTAAATTGCAGCTAACATTATGCAGACTCTGAGAACAAAAAAAAATGGAGATGGCGAACCTCACCTAAAACATGAATTTTAAATTTAATGGCGTGCATTCATTATATAGTTTTAATCAATAAAATTTAGCCCAAATGTTTTTTTTAAACATTTTCTTCAATATGAACACAACTTGCCTCGGCAGTTGGGGATCCCTTTAAGGAGTTTGTTTAAAATTTATAAACTTTATTGATGTTAAAAAATCTATTATTATTATAGTAATAAAATGCCAAATAAAAGTATAAATATTTACAACAAGAGTAATTTGATAAAGTTATTTGTTTGATCTTGTTATGTATAGTTTTTCTACCCCTTGTTAAGTAGGTTTTCTTCCTTATCAAGTAGATCTTCTTTCTTGTTAAGTAGATCTTCTTCATTGTTAAGTAGATCTTTTTCCTTGTTAAGTAGATTTTTTCCTTGTTAAGTAGATTTTTTCCTTGTTAAGTAGATTTTCTTCCTTGTTAAGTAGATTTTTTCCTTGTTAGGTAGATTTTAATCTTTAATTTTTTCCTTGTTAAGTAGATTTTGTTAATCTTCTTCCTTGTATAATCTAGTTTACTCTCTAAACTATGGTTTTGAGAAAAACAATAAAATCCGATGCTTTTTTTGTTTTTTCTATTTTGTATTTATAAATATAGTCTCTATACCTTTTGTTTTATGCTTAAAAATGCATAAAACAAAAGATATAGAGACTATATTTATTATGTTTGTCCAGTATTCCTATGTATGACTAGCTGTCAGAACCCAGAATACAGTTCATGTTTGGTCTATGTTCCATGCCTAACTTTTGTTGTTTGTATTCATTTTTAAAAGCAGTGATCAGTGATCAGGTTATTTCAGTGAAGGTCGTTTTATAAAAATTACCTGAAGGATTTTTTAATTAATTCAAAGTATACATTAAATAGAAATGATTTGAACTTAGTTATTTTAAATAAAAATAATTGAGTTTTTTATTGAGGAGAAGCTAATATTAATATAGTAATAAAATGCCAAATAAAAATATAAATATTTACAATAAAATTTATTTACAAACAATAGTTAGATAATAAAATATGTAACAAAAGGAACAAAGCGTATATCTTTTTAGTAATTTTGTTTACAAATTAACAAAGCATAACATATTGTCAATTTCCTTCCTTTTTAATGCATAAATATTTTATAAAATTTATTTAAAATGAAAAAAAATATTGAAATGTTTATAATATATAAATTTAAAAGGAAAAAATCTACATATAAACATACAAGTTTTTAGCTGATACTGTAGTATCTGGTTCAGTATTTGCTGTTATTAAAAAATAATATTATTTAATAACACCATTCATTAATATTATTTTATATAATACGATTGGCTTTTAGTAAAAAATCATTGTGATGGGAATGGCTGAAACACTGTTGTTTCCATTTTTATGTCACATCAAACTTTAGAGTCATTATAGTGCCTTATTTTTAAAAAATGTTAAAAATACTCATGTCATGTATATAATTTTTTTCAAAAATTTAACTCCCTTAATAATACACCAGCCCCCTACCCCACCCTCAAAATATCAATCATCTTATAGATGTTCATTAAAATTATAATACGTTATATTATTAAACCTTCATTACAGATAGAGAATCAGACTGTGTTACAATTCCAACATTCTGTGTTAAAAAATGCTAAAAGGAAATACAATATGTTATAATTTGAATATATTTTAAAAAAACAACATTTAATTATGTAATGAGCATATACGATGACAAAAACATCATAAGCAATAACTTAACCATAAATACTGATTTATAATGCTACCAGTTGACAAAATTATTTTTCCTCTCTTCAGTAGAATTCTCCAATTTCTACTTAGTTGTTGACTAATGACTAATAAAGTAAGTTTTAAATCATTAAAGTTTACTATTTTAAAATCATGTTTCAACACTAACTTTTCAAACTAATAAAGTGATGACCATGCAGAGCTAAAAAAAAAAAAGATTAGAAAAGTTAATTATTAAAAAACAATAACATTTTCAATCGCATTTTTTTTTTTCAGCAATATTTTTTTACATTTGTTTAAAAAGTTTAGTATGAAAACACAGACGAATGAGGCAAATTATTTAATTATTTTAATTAAATTAGTATAATATATGTGTGTGTTTGTGTGTGTTAAATTCTATACTTGTTTACTTGAAAGTTTAAAAAACATGAACAAAATGATGAAAAATTCACAATAATATAATAATACAAACAATAGTCACAACTATTGTTTGTATTATTATATTATTGTGAATTTTTAGATGTATCGAAATTTTAATACAAGTCCAAGTTACCACAAGACGTGACATGGTAGAGGACATCAGTGTTTTAGACCGAGCAGCAAGTTCTGTAGAAAGGAGATTAGAAGAAATTAAAGAAAATGTAAAATTCTTATTGTTTTTCTACTAAATTCTGAAACTTTTAATTAAAAGAAATCCTATTTTGTAAGTACTTTGCTTTAGCAAATGAATGATGAATCGATTGATGGCAGAATGCAGATAAACAATGAAGAACTTCAAATGCTTGAGCTGGAAATATCTTCTATGGATGCTGAAAGGTTTTATAGTTTTTATATTTTTTTATATTAAATTGATCTTGTTTCTTCTAAAAAATAATCTTTCCAAATGTTTTTTTTAATTACAAATACTTTAATAAGATTTTCTTCAAAATCATAGGCGAAGATTAACCAACAATCTTTCAACTATGGAACCAAGTAAATCTCAATCCCTTAACTCTCTTGATGAGCTATCTGATTTTGAAGTTTTGGGAGAGAGCTCTGAAGATATTTCATCAGGTTTGAAAGCATGTATTAACAATGCCAGACATTTTTATATATATTTAGATTCTTGATAATGGTGTAGATTAATTTTAAATATATATATATATATATATATATATATATATATATATATATATATATATATATATATATATATATATATATATATATATATATATATATATATATATATATATATAAATATAAAAATAAGTATATACATACATATATATATATATATATATATATATATATATATATATATATATATATATATAAATATAAAAATAAGTATATACATATATATATATATATATATATATATATATATATATATATATATATATATATATATATATATATATATATATATATATATATATATATATATATATATATATATATATATATATATATATGTATCTATGTATGTGTGTATCTATGTAACTTTTTTTATATTGCAGCATTTTTTTTTATTTCAAATAAAACTAGGTACAATTTAGGCAATTTTATAAGAGTTAAAACTTTGCATTTTTATGAATATGATAAACTTTCATATAAAATTGTTTATATCTTTACAGTTATAACATTTATATTAATTATTGTTTATTTAAAAATATTGAGTAAGTCCTTTTTTGATTGACAGATAAAATGTTTCTATAGTTAATTATTTTATTGAACATCTTCTTCAAATCCATAAACAATCCAAAAACAAGGATACAACAGGGCTTTAATTAAGCATATGACGATAGCAAATTGCGATTGCTTTTCACACCTTCTCGCTTAGTTTATTCTTTTTTTTTGCTATTTTTTTTTCTTTTCTTATTTAGCATTTTTTTGGCCATTCTTAAAAGTAAAGAATGTATTGTGTAAGTGTTTTATTAGGGGCAGTGCTGTGTTTAGTATTTCAGAGGCCCCTCCCCCTCTTCCTTCCCTCCCTTTCTCCCCCCCCCCCCCCCCAAAAAAAAAAAAAAAAAAAAAAAAAAAAAACAGTCATTAGGGCCCCAAAATCTTAAAAAAATTTTCCGCTTGACATTGCTAAATAAAAAACTAAATCTCTGCGTGGGAGCCAATAGTATCCTAATTCTATTTTAAAGTTAAATTTAGTTTGGTTTACTTGATAGATAAAGTACATCAGAGTAAATTTACCTAAAAGCTAAATCAAAACAACCAGTTCAACCAATCAGAAATCAACCAATTATGTTACTACAGTTAAGTTACTCAACTATTAAATTTACTTAATATACTTACATAGGTTAGCCATACAAATGTTTTTATTTATATCTTATATGTTAACACATAATAAGCCTCTAACTAAATATTATTTAAAAAAAAAATCTTAAATAGAATGAGAAACGCAATACCATTTGATTTTTATTTTTTAATTTTATTTAAAGCACTATCAAAATTAAACATTTTCTATAACCACACAAGTTGTTTTTAAAAATTTTTTTTTTTTAAAGAAATCTATTTAAACAAAAGATTTTTAGTCTTATTCAAATAATCTTGAATTTTTTGAAAAAAAATTTTTATTTTATTTCAAATTTTTTTGAAAAAAATTTATTTTATTTCAAATTTTTTTGAAAAAAAAATTGAAATAAAATAAAAATACACATAGATCTAGATACAGATTTATAAGATAGTACAATTGAGAAAGAAAGTTTTATTTAAGTCGTAAACATTTGTAATAGTAAATTTTTTTTTGTAAACAACATTTTATTGTTAACAATAAACAAGTGATTATTTCAAACATTAAAAAAAAAAATAAAAAAAAAATTATTCTACTTCTGTTCAAAAAAAATATTTTCCAAAAAAATAATTTAATCATATACTTAAACTTATGGAAATGTAATTGGACTTATTAAACCAAGTTTTTCTCTCACTTTTTATTGCAAAACAATTTGAACAAAAAAATGGAATGAAAGCATCCTTAAAAACCAATAGAATGAAAAATTTATACTTAAATTTTTAATAGTACGGTATCAAGAAACAATGAAGAAATTTTTTTTGCTTTTTTTTGAATTTTTGAAGAAATTTTTTTTCTTTTTTTTGAGTTTTTGAAGAAATTTTGGTGGGTGGAAAATATTTCCAAAAATTAATAAATATCCCCTCTCGTGTATTAAGCACCTAAAAGTAAATATTGTAATATTTTTGTTTTTACTTTTACTTTTTCAAGTATCATGATATGTAAAAACAGTTGCTAAAAGTAATATGGTAATAGTATTAAATACATTACTTGCTCAATACACTATAACTGCAACTTAAACTTTAAATTATAACTTAAGCTGTAAATTATAACAGTAACTTAAGATAATATTTTTAATATATATATGAATATTATGGTATAATATGAGTGATATTATGTTAAAAAATAACTAATACAAACTAATGTACGAAAGATTTTATATTATAACAATTTCATACTAACTTAACCCCTCTTACTCCAAAGGGGTGCCAGGGATGAGGAGGGCAGAGGATTTCAAAATTATTTTTTTTTTTTGCGATAAGATTTTTTTGCATTAATTCAAGCCCTTTACAATTAAGAAATAAGGTTGATTAGCATAAAATTTAAAATGACTAGATGAGAGTTTTTATATAAAAATTATCTATTAAAAAATGTTTTTTGTTAACCAATTATTGTATTTAGCACCATTAGCTTCACTATTACTGATTTTCTTTTGTTTATAAAAATATGTTAGTCCTTGGCAGTTTCTAAACTATCTACACATCAGAAAGACCAATACATTAATGTGACTCATATTTAATCTAATTTTATGTTATATTCTATTCTAGCTGTGCTTTAGTTTACAGAGCCAATTTAGCTTCTATCAAACAAGAAAGTATAAGTTTTTTACCACTATTTTTTGACAATGACAATGAATAATTAATGACAATGACATAACTTAGAGAAAAAAAGACAACTACACAATTATTTCAAAAAAAAGGAAAAAATGAAATTTTTTTATATATATATTTATACTTGATATATATATATATATATATATATATATATATATATATATATATATATATATATATATATATTCTCTTAATGAACTTAATCAAGAGAAAACATTGCAAGCTAACTCTGATTGCTTACTTCACTAAACTGGTTTTCAATAGTTTAGTTATTTAGAGATGTTAAAGTTTGTTAGTTATAACATCTCTAAATAACTTTTGTTATTTATTTTTTTTATTTAATTTTTAATTGATTTTTTTAATACATTCTATACTTATATATTAGCTTTTTCTGAAGTATATAAATTTTAGTTATTATTAATATAAAAAAGTCCAATTTAGTAATAAAATCTTTCTTTATACATCAAATAATGTTTTTCTTTAAAACAATTTACCTTGTTCAGTTTGACTTTATGTGAAAGTTCATCAAAATATGCACAAAAACGCAAATCCTTAATTTTCTTAAATTGCCTTTTATTGGCCTTTTTTTCGAAAGTAAAGTCAATCTAAAATATTTTTAGAATCAATAAACTATGTGTGTATAACATATATATAAATGCCTTGTAAAGAATATAAATTTTATGCTAAAAGAGTTTTCACTTGAATCATCTCTACATTGCACAAAAAAAAAATTCTAAATCTCATTTCAGAATTTTTTTGATAGTGATCCGTTCTAAAATGCAGATATTATATATGTATATATATATATATATATATATATATATATATATATATATATATATATATATATATATATATATATATATATATATATATATATATATATATATATATATATATATATATATATATATATATACTAACAACTTTTCTATGTTTTAAAGTTATGGAAAATATATATATAATTAACTTTTAACTTTGCTAGCTGTTGCAGGAAATGCTATTTATCAGCGATTCGAATATTAGTACCCATCTAAATAATATTTAGAAAACCTGCTTGAATTGTGTTGGTTAATTATAATCGGTATAAAAAGACATGTGGAAATAGTCTTAAAAAATATGTAGAATAATGGGCTTACCATGACCTATATAATACTTGTCATAGTAGGTCTATTCCACATTGACTATCTCTATACTTATTCTTTATTTAGTCATTTATTTCTATAATTTTTAGTAAGCAGTAGAAAATAAAAAAACTTTAAAATCTTGATTTTGAGTTAACGATTAATGTTCAATTCTTTTTAATTTCTTAATGTAAAATTGTGAACTTCTATAATAAAATGGGGACATTACTTTTTTTCTATTAAGTTTTTATTAAATTTTTTTTCAGACCATCCTCAGCTTATTAAGACTCTTACCCGTTAATTAATTTTAAAGAAAATAAAAATTTGAATGTAAAGTCTTTTTTTTTAAGAAATAAAAGTCTCTTTAATGTGTGTTAAACACCCAGACTTAACTAATTACCTAAGTACAATAATAACATAAGTATCTCTATCATGTTCAAGTTTTTGTAAACAACAGTCCATAAGCTCATTACTTCATTAAATAAAACTTTTAATAAAAATAATTAATAATAAAATGATTGTTTTCTATTAGTAAGTATGGGATAGCTTGGTACAGCATTTGTGGGGGCCCTAAAACTGTAGAATTGTACTCCATAATGTTATAAACAATTCTAAAAATCATTTCTTTTAATATTTGCAGTCTTTTTTTAAAAGATTTATGTAATTATAATACTAGGAGATCCAATTTTGATACAAAGCTTTTATTTATTAATGCTTAAAAATGGCATTGAAAATGATACATTATCTAGATTTCTGGAATGTGATTTAGATGCATTATTTGAATTATAATTATTAGTTTTTTTTTGTCTTTTGTGTCAAAATCTGCCTTTTCTTTAATTTCTAAACTTTTTATTTACTTTTTTAATGATGCTCATAGGTTTTATCAAGGTACCCCATGGGTGGGGTACCTTGATACAAATTTCTAATTTTACTTAAGTTTCACAAGTTTAAAATGTTATATTTTGATAAATATTAAAATTGAATAAAATTATTCTACAAATCAAAACCATTGCCTAAAAGAAAAGTGTATTA